ATCGAGAGTTATAGCCCAAGAAAATCATGAATTATAAACTATGCGCACTTAATTTCGGGGTACTTTTGAACGAAATTCCGGGCTCAGCATCTAGGCGACCTAGCGCTTTCTGTAACCTCGGTCAAAGCGAAGGAGAAAGAACAAAAAAACATCCAATAGTAGCCCATGAAAATCGCAAATTTTCATGTACACATACTTCCTAATCAGTCTGAACGAACAAAGTTTTACAATAGTCATGAGTTATAGCTTATGAAAATCATGAATTTTAATCCATGTATCTTTAATTGCCATTTGGTCAAAATGAATGAAATTTTGCAAAGATCTTGGGTTATAGCCCATAAACTTATAAACTTTAACGTGCACATACTTAATATCCATTTGGTCTAAACGAACAAAAATTGCAAAAATCGAGAGTTATAGCCCAAGAAAATCATGAATTATAAACTATGCGCACTTAATTTCGGGGTACTTTTGAACGAAATTCCGGGCTCAGCATCTAGGCGACCTAGCGCTTTCTGTAACCTCGGTCAAAGCGAAGGAGAAAGAACAAAAAAACATCCAATAGTAGCCCATGAAAATCGCAAATTTTCATGTACACATACTTCCTAATCAGTCTGAACGAACAAACTTTTACAATAGTCATGAGTTATAGCTTATGAAAATCATGAATTTTAATCCATGTATCTTTAATTGCCATTTGGTCAAAATGAATGAAATTTTGCAAAGATCTTGGGTTATAGCCCATAAACTTATAAACTTTAACGTGCACATACTTAATATCCATTTGGTCTAAACGAACAAAAATTGCAAAAATCGAGAGTTATAGCCTAAGAAAATCATGAATTATAAACTATGCGCACTTAATTTTGGGGTACTTTTGAACGTCATGAATTATAAACTATGCGCACTTAATTTTGGGGTACTTTTGAACGAAATTCCGGGCTCAGCATCTAGGCGACCTAGCGCTTTCTGTAACCTCGGTCAAAGCGAAGGAGAAAGAACAAAAAAACATCCAATAGTAGCCCATGAAAATCGCAAATTTTCATGTACACATACTTCCTAATCAGTCTGAACGAACAAACTTTTACAATAGTCATGAGTTATAGCTTATGAAAATCATGAATTTTAATCCATGTATCTTTAATTGCCATTTGGTCAAAATGAATGAAATTTTGCAAAGATCTTGGGTTATAGCCCATAAACTTATAAACTTTAACGTGCACATACTTAATATCCATTTGGTCTAAACGAACAAAAATTGCAAAAATCGAGAGTTATAGCCTAAGAAAATCATGAATTATAAACTATGCGCACTTAATTTTGGGGTACTTTTGAACGAAATTCTGGGCTCAACATCTAGGCGACCTAGCGCTTTCTGTAACCTCGATAAGAAAGAACAAAAAAAACATCCAATAGTAGCCCATGAAAATCGCAAATTTTCATGTACACATACTTCCTAATCAGTCAGAGCGAACAAAATTTTACAATACTCATGAGTTATAGCTTATGAAAATCATGAATCCATGTATCTTTAATTGCCATTTGGTCAAAATGAATGAAATTTTGCAAAGATCTTGGGTTATAGCCCATAAACTTATAAACTTTAACGTGCACATACTTAATATCCATTTGGTCTAAACGAACAAAAATTGTAAAAATCGAGAGTTATAGCCCAAGAAAATCATGAATTCTAAACTATGTGCACTTAATTTCGGGGTACTTTTGAACGAAATTCCGGGCTCAGCATCTAGGCAACCTAGCGCTTTCTGTAACCTCGGTCAAAGCGAAGGAGAAAGAACAAAAAAACATCCAATAGTAGCCCATGAAAATCAGGAAATTTTGGACTTCGCATACTTAATTGCTAAAAGTTAGTGTGCCTACATGTAATTAGTATGCTTGCTAGGAGGATACAAGATCGGTGTCAGATTGTTGGAGGAAGAATTTGCTTGCTTTGAGGAGTTCAGGGGTGAGGGTACGAGATTTGCTATCAAATTCTTGCTTTCTAGGAGTTCATGAAGGAGGGGGAGTAAAGTATTAATGAAATTGAACAAACCCTAGGAATCCTCCAACAAGAGAAAGATTGGCAGTATTTCCAGAGATTGAATAAATACACAGGCACGATTAGGCTCAATGAATGGAAATGTAAACCCCCCCCCCCCCCCCCCCCCCCCCCCCCCCCGCCCCCCCCCCCCCCCCACAATCATACAGTAATCAATTAAAATAGGCGGAGAAAAACCTAAATCAGGGTTAACAGCGAGAGATCAAAACCCTAATCGGAGGAGAGACGTGGATTACCTTGCATCCATTTGCGGCCCGGATTTGTGGCTGGCTGACGAGAGAATTGAGCCCCTGACGCTGTTTCGAGATGAATTGAACGCGTCTAGGGTTTTCATGAGGTTCGGCGCTCTCCGAAACGCCATGGCCGTCGTCGATCTCCAGAAGGCGAAGGGGAGTCCTTCAGCGAATATTGCGGGGTGGAAATAGCAGAATAGGGATAAAAATATGGGCCGGACACCGCGGACGAAGGAAAGCCCAGTTTCCGAGGCCCAACGCGGAGAACTCACGCGCTTCGTCACTGTAGGGAACCGACACAGGAAGGGTCAAATTTGTCATTTCAACCAAAAGCCACCAGTTAATTATTGCATAGAATTTGTATAATTAACTTATTTAAGAGCAAAAGCAAAATATAAATTATAATCCCCTGTATAATCTCCTTCGAAAAGCACGTTCAGTGTTCTCTCTCTTCCTTTTCCTTTCATCTTTTTAAAAAGTGCTTTTCAATCGCAACATTACAAAATCTTCAAAGTACACTATATTACGAACTGTTTTAGTTTCTACCAAAAGATAATAAAAACGAAATCTAATTCAAAGTACACTTATATCACAAACTGTTGGTTTTAACTAACTAAATAAATAAAAACACCATTAGCTGTTAAATAAGCTTGAAAGGGAATTTTGGGCCGATTTAATACCAAATTTAACAAACACTAATAGTTAATAAAAAAAATGCTCTAAAATTAGCACGTAACTACCACGGCGAAAATTTCCGGTGAATTTTTTTTAATAACTAATAATATTTTCACGTCATCGTGAACAGTGTATCATGAGACAGAGAACCGACACCTCACCAACTGTCATGTTCCGTATAGTGTCCCGTGTCTTTTGGTTCACGGAGCATCACCCTTAAGTGCAGTTCAGCCTGAATAATGACTAACTAATTACTTACCAGTCTCACTAGTCAAAATGTCTTCTTCATCCTCCCCTTTTTATTAAGCCCCCACCGGTGTCTACTAAAAATATCACTCAACTCGCTCACTCCACTAATGTCAGAATAATTGCTCCCCTCTCCAGATCCCAGATCTAAAGTGCAAGGGGGAAAAAAAAAAGAAAAAAAAAAGACAAAAAAAAACCCCGATCGATGAAGGGGAAGGAGAGAATAATGGGGGTGGGGATGGGGCTCAACCTTGCCTCCTCCTCTCGCCATGTGTGCGCCAGCAACATCCTCTCCTTTCTACCACCTCTCCTCCTCCCGCTCCCTCTCCCCTCCTCCTGCCCCTCCGCCGCCCCGCCGGCTCCGCCTCCTCAGCCGCCGTCCCCGAGCCAACCTCCTCCGCCCAGCTCCACGCAATCCGCGCCACCATCGCCACCTCTCCTCCGGCCTCCTCTTCCCGCCCGCCGTCTCCGGGCGGCGTAAGCCTCCCCGCCCCGCCGCTCGGAGCTGGCGCTCTACTCGCGGCTCCTCCCCATCGCCTCCGCTCTGCTCGACCACCCCGATCCTCCTCCACCGCTTCATTGTCCTACGCCCCCTTTACTCCCCCTTGCCCCCGCGTGCACCTTCCACTCCCTCTCAGTGAGCCCCTCATCCTCCGCGGCTGCCATCCCCCCTCTCCCGCCGCCTGCTGGCTCTTATGCTGTCTCCCGCCGGTCCTCCCCCCGCGCCTGATTCCGACCGCGGCCGCGCGCCGGCCCCTTCTCCTCCTGCTTCTCCCCGACTCCGCCGATCCTCTGCGCCCAACCCCGGCCTCCCCGTGCCGCTCCTTCTCCTGCTCCCGGCCCGGCCCTCGGCTTCGACCCCGCGCCGAGTCCCTCCCGCTTCCTCTCCTCCAGGTCCCCCCTCGAACCTCTCCCTCCCCCAGCACTCCTCTCCATCTCCCCGCGCCCGGGCGCCTCCCCCCTCCGCCTCGCCCTCGACGTCGCCCGGCGGATCGGCACCTCGCCGCCCGCTCCTCGGCCTCCCTCGCCAACGCCACCGTCCTCACCATCCCATGAACCTCGCGCGCGCCCTACAGCAGCCGCGGTCGCTGCGGGGCGTCGGTGCCCACCTGCAGCCGCGCCGCCTTGCAGAGGAGGCTGCGGTTGGCGGAACGCGGCGCTGGACACTTTGGTGCGCGACCGGCACGCGGTGAACCGTGTGGCATCCGCGCGCGACAGGCAATGGAGTTCCTGCGTCTTCGACCGTGGCAGGGTCCTGAGGGGGCCGGGGGATTGTGGTGCAGTCGACCACCTTCTGCAGGCGCGTGACCTGGACGGGGCGTCTTCGGGGGGATGAATCAGGAGGCTGCGGCGTACAAGCAGGATCAAGTGGGCGGTCAGGAACAAGACGACGCGCGCGGCTTAATGAACGGAGAGGTTTAGCTCACCGTTCCGCTTGCTGCAGAAACCGCCGCGGGGAGGAGAGCCTGAAGAGAACGCGGCGGCGTTCAGGGATGATTTTTCTCGGCCGGCAGGTTCTTCTTTCTGTTGCTGTGTTTTCTGTTTAGGTGGAATTTTTATTTTATGGGTTTATTAACTTATTATTATCAATCAATGGGAAAACTTTACGGTCTCTGTTTGATCAATGTTAAGCTTATTGTTTTGGCTACAAGTAGCTGAACTAATAAATGTATTTACAATGCGATGTAGTTTCTATAATTGATGTGGATGTCACATTCTTTAGATGCATGCATACAGAAACCATGTACGTTGATCATACACCCAGACAATAGATAAAATACATCGACAGCGACAAATGTTCATATCTCCATAACCAGACTATAGATCAAGTACCAGGAATCTACAAGAAGAACAGCTAGGCTGATCAGGCAACGCACCAACAGATCCATATTCAAAACTTCATACGGTATCAACTCCATCGGATGTAAAAATTATACAAGAACTAGTTCCACGAATAGCTACGGCCTACAGGCCCCCAACACAAATATCCTGATCCCTTGACAAGGCCAAACTATAGTTCCTAGATGGAAAATGCAAAAATACAATATCCTCGACAAATCTTACGAGGGAGGGCATTGATCACAGCCAGAGTTGTCGTTAAGGAGCGGGAGGGTTACGCTCAAGAAGTAACGTTTATATGCAATAATATCATGATGCTACTGGTTCTTCAAGGATGCTGGCGTTTAGTTCTTTGCTGGATTGCTTCCTCAAACTCTCCTGGATTCGGTCTTTAATAGCAGTTTCCTGTCAGGAAAAAGGTGTTAAGCATGAGTTTTGAGTTTGATATTGATTATAAGCAGAAAGGGAAAATGAACAGAAAAGGTTATGATCCAAAAAATAGAAGAAAAAAATTCTAAAATGATTTGATCTATAAGCAACAGTTTAAATAAAAAGAAAGTACTATGGGCTTGAAAATTGAGGTGCTGGGTTCATAAGGTGCAACTCGATAACACTGCTCTCCTGAGAAAAATTTATTACTGTGGTTTTCGGTTTCCTCACTGGAAAATCAAAAGAACAAAAGCAAATTCCCCCGAGGAGTTTTTATAAGGGCTTTCTGATATAGCAAGGTCTTCGGCTTGAACGTATGGGCTAAATGAGCCCTTTTCTTCCAGTTAGTTCTTTTAAATGACATATCCTCACTTAAATTAACGCTACTTGTGCTTGCAACTTACCATAATGTGGCAACTTTCCTCAAACTTCTCAAGAAAGCCAGCAACCCAGCGATCCGCGTTCTCCACCCACTTCTCCAACCATTCGTTGGGATTCATTCCGGCTGTCTTTGCTACTGTATGCAACTGCAAAATACCAGCCAGCAACCAAAGCTTTTACATGTGCTTTGAAATTTACAACAATTGCCGTCACTCACTAGGCCATATAGTAACTTGGATAACTTAAATATGATCGGGAAAGATGCAGTTGACCTCCAGAAAACCAAACATTCTAGCCTACCTTTTCCTGATGCTCCTTCACTTTCTCGCGCAATTTTGTGATTCCCATGTTCACTCTTAATTGCTTTTCCTGATTAAACAAAAAAAAAAAAAAAAAAAACCAGTCACCGGTAAGTTTCTCAAAAACAAAACTGGGAAATAAGAGTTACAGGAGTTTATCTTGCCTTCACGTAGCTCACACCAAGGTCCTTCCTTGAATATCCACGAGCCAAGTTGCGCATAACATACTTGTTGTAGTCCTTGAGAATCCTCATTATGAGATCTGACGTAGAGATTGAATCAGTGCGCTTTGTTTCCTTGAACTTACCAATGGCTTTAACCTACAATAGAATGTGATTATCATATTTAACAAATAAATTACAGCAGAAAAGAAAATATTTAGCATGGGAGTAGATATATTGACAAAATTATCAAGAACTAACAAATTCATAGACGTCATTGCCAGCTCCACTAGCATCCGCATATCTACAAAGCATTAGTTGCGGATTGATTTCTCGGCCGGCAGGTTCTTCTTTCTGTTGCTGTGTTTTCTGTTTAGGTGGAATTTTTATTTTATGGGTTTATTAACTTATTATTATCAATCAATGGGAAAACTTTACGGTCTCTGTTTGATCAATGTTAAGCTTATTGTTTTGGCTACAAGTAGCTGAACTAATAAATGTATTTACAATGCGATGTAGTTTCTATAATTGATGTGGATGTCACATTCTTTAGATGCATGCATACAGAAACCATGTACGTTGATCATACACCCAGACAATAGATAAAATACATCGACAGCGACAAATGTTCATATCTCCATAACCAGACTATAGATCAAGTACCAGGAATCTACAAGAAGAACAGCTAGGCTGATCAGGCAACGCACCAACAGATCCATATTCAAAACTTCATACGGTATCAACTCCATCGGATGTAAAAATTATACAAGAACTAGTTCCACGAATAGCTACGGCCTACAGGCCCCCAACACAAATATCCTGATCCCTTGACAAGGCCAAACTATAGTTCCTAGATGGAAAATGCAAAAATACAATATCCTCGACAAATCTTACGAGGGAGGGCATTGATCACAGCCAGAGTTGTCGTTAAGGAGCGGGAGGGTTACGCTCAAGAAGTAACGTTTATATGCAATAATATCATGATGCTACTGGTTCTTCAAGGATGCTGGCGTTTAGTTCTTTGCTGGATTGCTTCCTCAAACTCTCCTGGATTCGGTCTTTAATAGCAGTTTCCTGTCAGGAAAAAGGTGTTAAGCATGAGTTTTGAGTTTGATATTGATTATAAGCAGAAAGGGAAAATGAACAGAAAAGGTTATGATCCAAAAAATAGAAGAAAAAAATTCTAAAATGATTTGATCTATAAGCAACAGTTTAAATAAAAAGAAAGTACTATGGGCTTGAAAATTGAGGTGCTGGGTTCATAAGGTGCAACTCGATAACACTGCTCTCCTGAGAAAAATTTATTACTGTGGTTTTCGGTTTCCTCACTGGAAAATCAAAAGAACAAAAGCAAATTCCCCCGAGGAGTTTTTATAAGGGCTTTCTGATATAGCAAGGTCTTCGGCTTGAACGTATGGGCTAAATGAGCCCTTTTCTTCCAGTTAGTTCTTTTAAATGACATATCCTCACTTAAATTAACGCTACTTGTGCTTGCAACTTACCATAATGTGGCAACTTTCCTCAAACTTCTCAAGAAAGCCAGCAACCCAGCGATCCGCGTTCTCCACCCACTTCTCCAACCATTCGTTGGGATTCATTCCGGCTGTCTTTGCTACTGTATGCAACTGCAAAATACCAGCCAGCAACCAAAGCTTTTACATGTGCTTTGAAATTTACAACAATTGCCGTCACTCACTAGGCCATATAGTAACTTGGATAACTTAAATATGATCGGGAAAGATGCAGTTGACCTCCAGAAAACCAAACATTCTAGCCTACCTTTTCCTGATGCTCCTTCACTTTCTCGCGCAATTTTGTGATTCCCATGTTCACTCTTAATTGCTTTTCCTGATTAAACAAAAAAAAAAAAAAAAAAACACCAGTCACCGGTAAGTTTCTCAAAACAAAACTGGGAAATAAGAGTTACAGGAGTTTATCTTGCCTTCACGTAGCTCACACCAAGGTCCTTCCTTGAATATCCACGAGCCAAGTTGCGCATAACATACTTGTTGTAGTCCTTGAGAATCCTCATTATGAGATCTGACGTAGAGATTGAATCAGTGCGCTTTGTTTCCTTGAACTTACCAATGGCTTTAACCTACAATAGAATGTGATTATCATATTTAACAAATAAATTACAGCAGAAAAGAAAATATTTAGCATGGGAGTAGATATATTGACAAAATTATCAAGAACTAACAAATTCATAGACGTCATTGCCAGCTCCACTAGCATCCGCATATCTACAAAGCATTAACATATATAAAGATGAGTTGATCATCACATGGATGTGGGATAGCAAGAATTACGATTGAAATGTAAATAGATAGTAGAACTTAGTTAGCAAATTCAGCCAAAAATAACTTTTAAGAGTTAACATATAGAAGATAAGCTTGATCACCAAAATGCCCGCAACTGCCACAAGTAGAGCCGTAAACATGTGCCACAATGGACAGCAGAAAGTCCACATTTTACCCAATTCAATCAGTTATTATTATGAAGTATCATAGCCTGTCAAGTTGATCACATTAATAAAGATATTGGTTGAAGAGAACATATCCCTCCTTTAATCTTGATTATGTGTGAATGAAAATTTCTCAATGTCAGGGAATATTCACCACATAAAGATAAAATCATGAAGCGGAAACTCTTGATCAAACAATCGTGTACAGCAAGAAAGAAGAGTTCCACTAAGAATTGGAAAATGATAGTAGAGATCGGAGCAAAGTCTGATCCATTTAAGTTAAGGAATCTTACGGAAGCGCATCATGAGCCACATAATCAATCTTGTGCTTGTCAATGAACTCTTGAGTCAAGACCCAAGGAGCATCTGGAATTACCTCATCAACCCACCTACGATTAAAAAAGAGAGAGAGAGAAAACAAAAAATAAATCACATGAAGTCCATCTACTGTATTTCTCATATTGACCTTAGAAAACATACTTGCAGTGACGGAGTGACTCGTAGCGCTCAGATTCGGTCATGACAGTTTTTCCCTTGTACTTATGAGTAATCTCATCATTGCAGCATCCAACAAGCAAATAGGTGTTCGGAAATCTGAAACAAGCAATAAAATTTAATGTTAAGGAAACGGTAGTTTATATTGTTCACTTTACATGATACGTATTGGTAATTTAAATGCAAAAACAGACCATAACCATACTGAGGCGTTTAAGAGACAGACATGAGTAAATGAAGTTATTTCTCATAGTCATGTTTATTTTTTGTATGTTTGCCAGTATTTAGGTAGAACATGATACTCAGAAAAACAGGAGGAAAAAGCTACTGCCAAATTATTAACGTTGCTTGATTAGCAAAAAAAATTACTGTCGTTGCTCCACAACGTATAGGATGTAACATACATCTGACTTGCCAACTAAACCAACATATGAACATTAGACAATTTGAATAAAAATCACCTCTCCCAGCTTAACCATATCCGGAATATGATTCTTCCAGGAAAAATACAAAGTAGGCAACCCAGTAACAGTGTATATAGTAGGTAATCAAAGAAGTTTCTATATTCTAAATATTTGCTTGTTTGAAGAAATAAGAACATGCTCTTTTTTTTTCTTTTTTTTCAATATAATCTAATTTTAGTCTGATGAAAGCGTACACTTTTAACAATTCACATCACTTCCTTAAAATTAAAAGCAATACTTGGACTGCAGGAGGTGTTCGTTTTAAAGTTGATAGGAGTCCAAACATATATATTAAAATCTTCTTCAGATAAATGATACGATTAATGTAAGTTTCTTTTCTTTCTTTTCCTGCTTTCTCCTTATTCACTTGTTCTCTCTCATTTTCCACTTCCTAGATTGCCAAGCCACGCAGGTGGGAGCTAGGGATGTAAATGGATAAAGTAATCTGGCTTGGATCCATTTCAGTATTAGTATTTTTTCCATATTTGTCCCTTTAAAATGAAATTTGATACAGATCATAGGAGTAGTGCTAAAAGTCTGAAATATCTAGAAAGATACTCGAATATCCAAGCATCCTAAAACACAAGGATACCATTCCCATATTCTAAGGTCAATTTATTATATAATGTAACACAGAATATTTTCACTTGCATACAGATTAAAGAAGAGGTTTGAGCTCATCTTCCTACAAAGTTTTCGTGATACTCAATAGTTTGCACATTCAATCATATCTGAGTACTATCTGGACAAGAACCAGGTTTATTATATGTCGATGGTGAGTTAGCATCCGGACCATACTCACAATCCTCATAGTAAGATACCAAAATACAAAATAGAGATTCTCCCTATCGAGTTGTAGACAGTTGTATTTAATATCATTGAATCACCTTAGTCAAGCATATTCCCAACTTGGAAATTTTACCCTCCATATTATTCAAGCTACCCAAATATTAAAGTTATAACAATAGCCATCACTAAAATACAAAACAATAGCTTTCCATATTCAGTGTAGACAGCTGTACTTAATATCATTAATCACCTTTGTCAACCATAACCCGCAAGCCCTCAAACCCACCCCACCACCAATACTACATGTCAGATGCAAAGCCAATCGAAATTATCTTCTATCCAAGAATTCTGCCGACTAAATTTTACCAATAAATATCACATAATTATAGCCTAAAATACTGCTCTAAGACTCCCCTTTCTTCTTCAACTCTTTGACAGCGTCTGACATAGTTCACACGGCTTCACACCAGCAATTCAAGGGAAAACCCATCACCAAGAAAGTTCCTTAATTTCATAATGAGTTCTACCTAGAATTGCAAATTTCCCGCCTAAATCTAGATATCTGCTAGACTGCTACCCCAAAAATTGTACCATATTACGTTAAAATACCGCGAAGATTAACGCTGTTAATTTTTTATAAAAAAATATGCTGAACAACTAACAAAAAAATGAATATATTTGGTTACTTAAGAAAAATTTCGGGTATTTAACTAGACGTGGTAGAATTGAGAGATAAATTTGCAATTCTCATTGATTTGGGAGTATAAGTGTAAATGGACCCTGTACTTACAAAATAAATGTTTTTTTATATTTGAAGTAAGATCATTCTATCGAAACAACTTTTGATTTTCAATTTATCCACTAACCTGCAATAAAGATCATTCCTCTATAATATTTGGTATTTAATAACTAATTATTACAACAAAACTAAAAAATTTGACTTAAAAGTGAGTCCAGATTGGTTGACTTTTTAGAAGTGTTATATATATAAATTTATAAAGGTGGTTTCTGTTGAATGCTGGTTTCTAGGGGGGAAAGCATAAAATAAATCGCCAGTGTCAAAAGCATAAACTATTTACTCAAGTAAATCACACTCGAGTTTTAGCTAATCACCGTAGTTAATCAACTTAGACCCCCAATTCACTAATACACGACAAAAATAGAGGAATCGGTTAAAAATCTTACAATTTCTTGGCCTGTTCTAGAGCCCTAGCATGTCCGAAGTGAAACAGATCGTAGATCCCGTCGGCGTACACTCTCACCGGCCGATCACCGGAGGATTCCGACTCCAGCGAGATCGCCGGAGACTCTTCCGCTGTTGTCACCGACGGAACGTCGCCGCCAACCTTCGCTCCTCCGATCCGACGATTCGCTGGAATTCGCGCCATCGATGGAACGAGATCGGGCCGGGATCTCGAGGGAAAATGAGAAGGGGTCTAGATCGATGAACGGGCTTAAAGGTCAATTAATATAGGGGGAGGGAAGATTAAGTAGTAGATTCTTTTGATTTCTTTGGTAATTTACGGAAGTAGCCTTTGGGTCTCGGGTGCGCTTGGGTTGCTGTTTGGGCTCCGAATTGGACTCGGATCTAGGCTCGGTTGTATATGAAGCAAAAGACGCATCTGCATGTTTTGTGCAGGTTTTGAGTCTGCCCAGCCAATTCACGAGACTACTAGTTCAGTGAATTTGTTGGGTGAGATGAGGGTTTCTGCTGCTTAACGTACGAGACTACTAATTCCGTACGTTTTGTGAAGTGAAATCAACGTGGGTTTTCTGGCTTAGGTTTAGTGGCCAATTACTGATCACTAAATATACGAGACTAGTAGCCCCGTTTCGAAGAGCCAAAATTTTAAAACCGAGGCCAAAAAGAGGTCGGTTTTGTTAAATAATTAGCAAAACAGTAAGTTTATTTAACAAAAATGGTTTTTTTTAACACAGTAAATCTTTGGTCCTTTTAGCTATAAAGGTGTAGATGAAGGGCTACTTTCAGAAAACCCCCTATACTATGTGGCACAAAAAACCACCCCCTCTACTATTCTAATTCAAGAAAATCGGCTCAACTTTGAAAACTAGACTTAACCTCCTCAATTATGGTCCGCCTAATAAAACTCCCCAAATTTATACTTTTCTCAGCAAACTCCCTTAAACTTTACACTTCTCTCAGCAGACTCTCTTAACGTTGTTAATTTTAAAATGTGAATGCTTGAAACAGCCTTTGGGAGGAAACTTACTTCATTTTTTTTTAAAAGATCCCCCATTATCATCCCAAATCCCACTCGGACGGACCAAACAAGTAAATAGAAAATACATATTTTGAAAAATACAGACCCACTCCAAATGTTCGGTTTTTAATAGAAAATACATATTTTAAAAAACACAGGCCCACTCCAAATGTTCGGTTTTTTGCACTACAACGGAAGGTAGAGCCCACAATGCACTAATTACAAATAAACCAAAGAGAAGCAACCACAAATAATTACACGCTTGGCGCTCACAAACTACTCATACATTAATTTAGCTCCGACTAAAGATAAACTAGGACTCCCGACAACATTTACAAGAATAATCAACGCTAACAGCAGCTTAATCCCCACTCTCTAGAGCTAGCTAATTACAGCAAATGGGCAAAAGAATCTAAAGTCAGTTGTCCGAAAAAGATGGACGTTGATGTGTATCTTCAAGCTTCGAACTCATAATGATACACATATCTAGGAGGAGATGTGTTGTACTGAGGATGAGAAGGTGGGGAGCTGCTTTCACTGCTTGATGGCGATGCAACACAAGTTTGGTTTTTGTCGACCCTCACTTCTACGGTCTCCACATCCTCAAATGAATGGAAGATTGGGTGCAAGTATGCGTTGGCTAAGTATGATTTAAGGTTAAGGTTAGGCTCGGATGTCCTCTCCATATCGTCCTTCTCCTTAGCTTCCTGAAATTTTAGAGGGGAGCCTAAGTCAGCGCAAAATATCGATAGCCGAGAAGAAAGAGTAGAAGGAAACTTTGGGGACTAATAGGCTGGCTCTTTTCACACATATCTCATAACGTAGGTCACGTAAATAGGAAAAGCCATCATAAAACAAGAAAATTGTATTGACATGCTGTAAGTTCTGAAGAGTACAAAGTTATGACACTCAACCCTCAGTGTTTTAGCGTAATGGAAGTGAGTTTAAGATGGTATCTAGGTTTCAAATCGTACGGAAAAGAATTAGGTTTAATTCAAAAAAGATATTGTTGTGCGGAGACATGCTGAAGCATAAAATTATAATCCTCCATCCGCTCAAATTTCTGAATTCTGGCATGGTGGAAGGGACTCTAAACAAGCAAACATGCTACATATGCATTTGGCATAAGTGTAAGTTAATGAGCTTACCTCCAAGGGGTATTTCCTGAAGGCAGGTTCAAACCGGCTTTTGCAGTACTTGTGAAAACCGTAAGTAATTACAGGCAAAACAGCAAGCAAGGGAGTGGAACTAGCAGCCTTCTTTGTGCTGAGTAAACCAATGAGGAGCAGCTGAGATATCCACATGCTTGCAACTATGCGGGTATGAACATGCGGCCAAAATGCACCAGCACTTTCGTATTCTTGATTGTAGACGTTAATAATCTGAATTTTGAAAGTAGTGGAGTGTCAGTATATTTTCTCAAAGCACAAATTAGGACCTGAAAGTTTGTATTGACCTTGCAGCCGCTTACAGTTGTACCTTCTACTAACGTAATAACTTCTATAATGTTCAGTTACCCAAAAGAAAAACATCTATGATGTTTAACAGGAGAACAAAATTATTAAGCACAACCAAATGATTACTCTGAGCGATTACTGACCTGGTGTCTATAGACAAGATATGCAAAGGCAAAGAACACCAGTATAAATGGTAGAAGAATGGGGGTAACAACAGCATAAACAAGTCCCAGGA